ACAATGTGACAATATATATATGCAGGTATGCGTTCGGGACGGGCCGGTTTGCGTTCCAAAAACAAAATATGTCTTTCACAAAAAAAAACTAAATAACATTTGCGTGACGAAAATAAATACTATGGTAAAACAAACGCAAAAAAACAAAAAATTCAACAAAAAAAAACAATAGACAATGAGTTCGTGTGCCAGCACCTTCTCGACATTGCCATATTTGCCAATTTGTTTTTATTTCATGGCATTCAAAAATTCCCTGACTATTTCAAAAAACAATAACATTTTTCAGGCCCCGAAATAACTTAAAAAAAAAAAAGTTATAAGTGCTAAACAAGAAAATACTGAGTGGGCGACCACGTTTTGGCACCCCCGTCTTTTGCCTCGACAGAATGTCTTCCAAATGTATTCGCATGTAGGTTACATCAAAGGCAACAGTTTGTCACAGCCTCCTTATGAGTAGGTCAAACTCTGACGAAACAGTTTGTCACAGCCCCTGATGAGTCGGTGAAACTCCGAAGAAACAGTTTGTTACAGCCCCTCGTTTGTTGTCCTCTTCTCTCTCTCTGCCTACGGTTTCCCGGGCAGTTCTGTTTGTGACGATATACATATCGTCACAAACAGAACTGCCCGGGAAACCGTAGGCAGAGAGAGAGAAGAGGACAACAAACGAGGGACTGTGACAAATATATATATCGTCAAATAGAAATATATATATATATATATATGTATATATATGTATATATATATATATACCTACCGGGCCGCCCGCCGGCGGGTTCAGAAAAAAATATGTAATAGGCCCTGACAACACTCTCACGGGGCACACATACAAAGAAAAACACGGCGCAGTAAAAAACGACGACAATATGTTCGTTTTTGCCGTTTTTATTTTATTTTATTTTAATTTATTATCATTTTTTTTTTTTTTTTTCCCTTCATAAGGCCGTATGTACGGACGGAGGTCCCTGGGCAGACGGCCGTACGTGCTCCAAACCCGGCGCTGTTCGGGCCCCGACAATATATTATTCGGCTCCTAAAATTGTTTTTTTTTTCAAAATACTTTTTTATACGCAAGAATGACTTGACGTCTATGGCCATAATGTTTTTGTCCTTTGCGTCATCCAAATAAAAAATGAAATATTGCCAAAGATGGTGGTGTCAAAACGTGCTCGCCCGAGTTTTTTTTTTCACTTCTTACTTTTTTTTTTTTCATATTTTTGTCGGCCGTC